CACAATAAGCAACTCGAGATAACATGACATAACAGTCATGTAATATGATTTCGTTATGAAGTGTAAACAGAATTAATAGTATTCACACAATTTAGAAAGGAAAATGACTATAATAATGCGTACTTTCCTGTAATGATGTATTATTAATAATGGCATATTATTTAATATTTTTGCATTAATGTATGTCAAGGTTTAATAAGGATAAGTAAATACCCTTGCGCATCTGCGACTTGAATATAGGTTTTATCAACTATGATGAACTAGAATAATGTTTGATTATTATAAGTGTCTTGCCTTAAAGTGGGGAAGCTGTTGTTTCCTTTCTATTACTTTTGAATTGTTTTAGTTACTTTTACTTACAAGTTTACGTCTGTGTGTGGCCACTCAATAAAGTTTGAATTCATACTTTTATGGATGTAACTAATCATTTAAATTTTCACTATAAAAAAATGATGTAAATAATTTTATGTTGTGTTGGCCGAGTCGCTTAACGCCCGAACCCAATAATTAATCCACAATCTCAGATTGTTTTCAATCCATGGATAGCTTGTATCGACAGATGTCTATTACAATCCGTCGATTGGTTATTGGCACACTTGTGACAACATTAAGATTACTATCTCAGATGGTCAAAAATGGATTGAGATAGGTTATTTGGTTCGGGCGTAAGTGTTCGACAGTAAAAACTCGTGTGTTCGATTAGTATTGATGCATTTTTCTTTATATAGTGCATTTAACCTATGCTTCTACGGTGAAGGCTAAGATCATGAGGAAACCAGTATGCGTCAAACCCAAGAATCGATGACATATGTCAGGTACAGAATAATCACCTACTTGACTTAAAAAAAATCTATCAAATTATTTAATTTGAGGCCCAGACCCATCCACTGGATTATTATTGAACTAATTGCACTTTACTGTCAAAAAGTCAAAAATCATTTAATAATATAGGTAACTTATGAAAGTCAAAAAAGAAATATATATGAAATGCTTCTAACTTTACATTTAGTGCCAGTTCTCAAATTAAGGACGTAGAACGGAAGAGAAGAACTGGCAATAAACTCTCCGCAACTCTTTTTAATCGCCATGTTTTTATGTCGTACTGTCGTACTAAGATTTTAAAATTCTAAACCAATTATCGTGCCTGGTTCTTTTGTTTAATTTAAAGGGATTTGTAATCCAAGTAGTTAATTTTGTTTTCAAGTATTATAATAATTTTAATGAATGTCAACGCTTCGGTGGACGGAGGAATTGTGACAAATTCCTTCTTCTTCTTGTGGTGCCCCTCCATTACTGGATGTTGGCCGTCAGTCTCGGAAAGCGTGTTTTTGCTTGATGCATCAACTCTTCCGATGATGCATAACGTTACTAAGCCAGATTTTTTCCTTATACTTACCAATAATTAATTGAAGGAGGTGGTAGCGGTCATGGCGCAACATGGCCCTGTTACGCAACTTTGTGGTCCATCGTCACATAAAACTCGTTTTATTAATAATAACAATTGGAATCTATTTACTTTGATAAAAATGTTGGTTTTATATAATTGTATGCAAACAAATCGAAGGTTCATTGATCTCTTGGCCCAGTGCTTGCGCTAATTTGAACTTAATCTAACGATGCCCCAAACCACAGTTTAAATTATCTTATCGTGCTATTGCGTTTTACTCATTTTATCTACATACTTGTAGAACATGAAACCGATAGGCGTAGACAAATTCAATAGATATTAGGGTTATGACTTTTGAATCCTTAGTTCATGCGAAATGTAAAAAAAAAAATTGTGCGTGTACTAGGTGTACACACGTAAGAAGTGAAACTTCTTTATGATCTTATTTTCGAAAAATGATCTACTATATGCAACTTTACAGAAATTCGTTAAATTAGATAAAGTTTAACAAAAGGCTTTTATTATCATAGACATGAATACAAATATTTTTCATATTACTACGAAGATTATTATAGAATTTCATTAATTGTAATACATAGAATTATTACTATCATTGAAAAACGTGACGATTTGCTACAAAATTTCTCCCATACGTCGATAAAGAAGTTTCATTCCAACGCCGATAAAGAAGTTTGACTTCAAAAAGCAACATGGCGCGTAACCGAAAAATGTGACGCGTAACGAAAAAATGTTACACTAAATTTTTTTCCAACCTCGATAAAGAAGTTTCACTTCAAAAAACTAAATTTAACGTTCATAAGTTCTACCTATACGAATATATCTAAATATTAAAAATAAGAAAAAATTGTATGTTTTTACCGAATAAAATCATTAACTGCTGCGTAGATTTCAGGACCTTTACATAGCTAATACTTAAATCGAATGAATTTTTAAGATCACTTAAAACTCACTCACTCACACCTCCACAAATGAAACATTCCCTCACACACACCTCAACAAGGAAATTGTAATATTCGTCTTATGTGTAATGCGTTCTTATAATTTAAAAATTCTAAATATTATCTATTTTTTAATCAATATATTGTTAAATAAATACATATATCTGAGTAACTTAACCTAAAAAATCATGATATGTACGAACAGACTGCTAATCAAGTAGACTATATTTTAGTAATTAAATTCACCTCGTAATTAAGTGCGAGCGTGAAACCGCTTGTGCAGGAATAAAGTTCTCTCTATGCGCAATACTGCAAGTAACACTTGGGGAATGTCTTTGATGAGTTTATACAAAATTAACATTAAAACTTACCGGACTATTGTTATTAGTAATATAATAAAAAGCTGTCGGTAATAAATAAAAAGAAATCCTGTATCAATACGTATATCTGCTAGTCTTACAAAAGATCCATTTTCATTCTAGGACTCAAAAAAGCAAAATCCTTTGTTTGAATTCCCGGAAAGACGATAACCAACATTGTTAGAGTGGAATTCAACATTCGGCTTTTTATTTGCGAGAGATTCGGAGCTACGATCCATATATTTTTCGTCTGGCTCTTAAAGTATTTGTTTTGGAATTTATGTAGTTCTCTTATGTAAGCCGTCAGGCGTGAATGATTAATGAAGGTTGTCAAAACGTTTTATATATGTATACTTTGAATTTTACACAGACTACGCATTTTATCTAATACACTGGCTGGTTAGATAATAAAAATCAATTTAAATTTGTCATTGAATGTTATCTATGACAAATGCTATTTAATAAAAAATGTTGTGCACACATCAATACTTCCCGTTAGGATGCAGGCCTACGCTTGTCCCTAATAATTATGACTAACGGGCTTACCCCATATTTTATCTTTAATATATGTTATATTCTATATATATGTCTGTAGGAGTCACATTTATTATATTAATATAAGTAGGTAAATATGTTATCCAATCACCAAATGTATTGGCGGGAATTGAATTTTTAAACGCTTCTGAAATAAACTAAAACTTAAAACAATATAATCTAAAAGCACAAATCAACCGTTGAGAATTGTTTAGCATAGACTATAGACCTTACGTCTAGACCTATCTTTTTCTTTGTTCTATTATAGAATGGCTTTGACCTAGTTTGTGAGTGTTAAGATTCTTAAAAAAATAGAACTCGTTTTTACAATAGAAACTACTTTCTTTGAAAAATTAGTGGCTCAGGTGCCTCATGTAATCCGGAATAATTTGGAATCCCACATAAAACATTTCGCTGTATCAGTTCACAACAAAGAAACAACTCTACGATATAATAAATTCAATTACTAAAATCTGGTTTTTGAATAATACGTATTATTTATGAATTTACGAAAAACATATAATATTCAGAAAAACTAATAATTTAAAATAAAAATTTATGACTCTTCCCAAAAGTCTAGTATAAATATTCAATTTGATTATAATAACGGATGTAAATTTATATCAAATTGTACTTTGCTATACGCATTGTTAATGAAAAAATAATTGTGTGCCCTTAATCGAATATAAAATAGCGGCCTATTTCTTTCTTTCAACGAAATTTACCCGTCATTAGGTCTGCAACCTTAAACTAAAAAACTACTTGTCTCGGCCTTTGAAACTGTCACTTTAATGACGTTAACTATTAACGAATTGGAGCATGAGTAAAAATATTAATTAAATGCGTAAATTATTTGGTACTATGCAAATTAAACCAAGAATTATCGGTATTTATATAAAAACTGTGACCTAAACACGTCTCGAGTGATTTACATTTTGCATGGTCACGTTTTATGTTTCAGTCGAGTATCAATAGAAAAATAAGGAAGGAATAATAGCCAGCGTAATACGTGTGTGGTAAGCGTATTGGAAATCATATTCAAGTGTCGCTTAGAGGTCACAGCTTTAGAACTTCCCAAGGCTCTCTACTGCGAGTCGTCGACCCGCCGTCACCTTGCTTCGCCAACTTACGCAATTTATTAATCTTATCATCTGAATGTGACCTCGCGCCCCGGTCCCCTCTTACCCCCAAATAAAACTGACCGCTTATTATGTCCCACTTCAGTAATAAAACAGTCTACAAACACGCGTATTAATTTTACAATTGTATGATCTACAAAGAAAACTGCCATATAAATATGCATAATTCCATTCTATATTACAATCGTAGAGAAACTTGACTAACTGATTTGTGGGACAATAATTTTCACAATAGCTCATATTGTTTGTGATCTTCAAGTGAAAACATGAGCTTAGTTCTGCAAACTTGTTAAATATATAAAAAGCTAATAATGAAAGTAACTATAAAGTGAATTAAAGTAAATATTTTAAATGAAAGTTTTACATTTAGATGTCGGCTACGAGTCTTGTAGGGCTACGGCTCGTAGCAGCGCGCGCGTCGCAAAAGCGGAGAGAGGAGTGCCGGTGGGACGAACCAGCGCGCGCGACACCCGCACGTATTTATTCGCAAGGCCACGCCAGCGGCATGCCAGTGCGCTTACGACGTTTGCACGCGCTATACGATTACCAATATTACCTACGTACTGTCGCGATAGCACCGCGCACGATATTATGTTCTGATATTTTAAAAATATAATTCAAAATGTTATCAATCTTATCGAACTCAAAAATATTATGGGGTCTGTGGCAAGTGGTGACATATTGTACTTCGCGGACGACCCTGCCCCTGTTGCTAGCGGCCGGCGTAGCATTTCTGGTGATGCAGGTGATGAGCCTAGTGCGTGAGAGTCGCAAGCTCCCTCCTGGACCGTGGGGTCCTCCTATTGTAGGCTACCTTCCTTTTGTGGGAGTCCGTCACAAGACGTTCCTGGAGCTGGCTCGCTGCTATGGAGCGCTATTCTCCGCACGTCTTGGAAATCAACTGACTGTAGTGCTAAGTGACTATAAGCTGATCAGAGAAGCCTTTCGTCGTGAAGAATTTACTGGGCGGCCTAGTACGCCTCTTATGCATACTTTGGATGGTCTCGGTAAGTTTTAATTTTATTTTAAAATTTATAATCTGTATATTTTTATTTAGATTTGAAAAATTAAAAATATGCTAAATTTATAACGCACACTCAATAATTTCTAAATTGTCATTCTTTTTTTTAAATGTGAAATAAGTATTGCTTTATCTGTTTCTCAATACATGAAATTTTTATAATACATTTAATAAATACGCTTAATATATATAAAGCCGGTAATAACGAAAGCACATGCGCACGGGGCGTCTTGCAAGACCTCCCGTACCCACAAGACCCGCCCACATATTCAACCCCCTCCTTCTTGTTCAGGTATTATTAACAGTGAGGGTCGCCTCTGGAAAAATCAACGGCGTTTCTTGCACGAAAAACTACGTGAATTTGGCATGACATACATGGGAAATGGGAAAAGAATTATGGAGGAAAGAATTAAGGTGTGTATATGAAAAATTACAGAAAACGACACATTGCGATTCACTTTTGTTTTACAGTAAAATTACAATTGTTCTATAAAATACTAATTAAAATATTATGTATAAAGATTACTTCAGATGTCATAGCTTGAATCGAAAATTAACGAAATATATGTTTAAGTATTTTATAATAACGTCAATATTATATTTTAGACTGAAGTACAAGAGCTCATGATTAACCTACACTGCGCTGATGGAGTGCCAATAGACGCAAATCCGTTATTAGCATTGGGCGTATCAAACGTGATCTGTGGCATAACTATGTCGGTGCGATTCAGCCACGGTGACGCACGATTCGCGAGGCTTAACCACCTAATTGACGAAGGCATGAGGTTGTTCGGTGAAATTCACTATGGAGAATACGTCCCATTATATAATGTAAGAAAGTTTCTTATTAATCAATAAAGTATCTTCTATCTCTCTATTCTTTTTTTCCGTTACTTATAGTCTTGTCTTTTTAGTACCTACCCGGAAAGGCTCAAGTCCAAGAAAAGGTGGCGAAGAATCGTGAAGAAATGTTTGAATTTTACCAAACGTTGATAGATGAGCATCGCAGCACTCTTGATATCAATAAGGCGAGAGATCTTATCGATGTTTATCTGATTGAAATTGAAAAGGCTAAAATTGAAGGTCGCGAAGGAGAACTGTTCGAGGGAAGAGACCACGGTTAGTTCACGAAACTTAGTTGGTTTAATATATAGCTGTATTATTGAATGGTACCTATTTAATTTTTTATTATTTTTTTTAGAATTGCAGCTGAAACAGATTCTCGGCGATCTTTTCTCTGCTGGTATGGAAACCATTAAGTCATCTCTGCTGTGGATGATCGTGTTTATGATAAGAAATCCTGATGTGAAAAGGAAAGTTCATGAAGAACTCGACTCTATTATAGGCCGCGACCGCCTGCCCACTATCGAGGATATGCCCAGTCTTGTTTACACGGAATCCGCTATTTTAGAGACTTTGCGGATGTCCAGCATCGTGCCTTTGGCCACTACCCACTCTCCCACTAAGTAAGTATATATTTTTTCTCACAAATAAATAAAAACCGTAAATTTCATATTAGATGATGATTAGATTTTTTAAATTTAAAATTGGAATTCTAACCATTACATTTTTAACAGGGATGTCAACCTCAACGGCTACAGAATTCCAGCGGGTTCTCAAGTGGTACCTCTCATTAATTGCGTACACATGGATCCTAATCTTTGGGATGAGCCAAACAAGTTTAACCCCAGTAGATTCATTGATGACAGTGGCAAAATCAAACGACCTGAATACTTTATGCCCTTCGGTGTAGGACGACGCATGTGCTTGGGTGACGTTCTCGCCAGGATGGAAATGTTCATGTTTTTCGCGAGCATGATGCACCAATTCGATGTGAAAATGGAGCCTGGTGACGCACTTCCTTCACTGGAGGGCACGGTGGGTGCGACGATCTCGCCTCAAGCTTTCCGCGTCAAGTTTATTCCGCGCACGCTGCCTGCGCCCGCGGCACCGGTCGCGAGCTTTCCCGATCACCCACATCTACGCCATGTCGGGTCGCACTAAGCGATTTCTTGTAATTACCGACACACACCCACCAGTATTCAAGATCACTCGTTTTAGAGCGATTCGATGACAAATATAATTAAGATTAAGATAAGTTACGACATCGCTGCGGCGAGAGTCCAGGCTGTGCATAACGTGTTCAATTAAATATTAAAACGAACTTTAATTTAGTTAAACTGAAAATTCCCATCGGTGATTATTATTCGTTTGTTACAACAGTATTATTTATAGTTGTCCGATCTGTAAGATCGTTGCCGATCATTTCATGAATTTGATAGGTTTCAGTTCAGTTTTAAACTCTAGTTTTTTATACCAAATTATCATTTAATTGTAGGTTATTTATTAATTGTGTTGAATGTTGAGAGTGATCTCATGTTGTGTTCTGTGTGAATCAATTAGTGTCTATTTAGTATTGTAATGCATACATTTCTAGTTTATAATGTACCTATCATGAGTAATATACGTAGTAACATTCCATGGTAGCGTAGAACCAGCAACTAGTCTAAGAGCGGTGAATTGTCGCTATAGGTTTATTATTTACTTTATACAATTGTCAAACAGTTTTTACAAAGCGCCTACAAGGGCGTAATTAAATACTTACACAGTAAACTACCATTGTACCGCTTTGTAAATATTGCTCTTTTTTAAAGTGTTTACAATTGATAATTTTATAAATAAAATTAAAAGATTCTTAAATATGCATTTTATTACTTCTTTTACATACACTTCTAACGATCTATATGAGATCGCAAAAAAACTTGGTTTCTGGTGGAGAGAGAGTCAATCCAACTTTTCCCATCATTTCCTCCTCTGTCGGTGGGTCAGAGGCGAGTCGAAGTTTGAAAGTTTTGAAAAATCGTGCAATTAGGCCAACTGATATCATTCGAGACAACTCGTCGCCAGGACACATTCGTTTACCTGACAAAACAAAATATTATTAATGATGTTTGTTCACGAGAAAGTCTGTTTACTTCCGGACCGCTTACTTTGAATTTTGACGCAAGACAAACACGAATACATCAATAACGTCAATCCTTCAAAAAAAGAGCGTACTAATTCTTGAAAGGCTGGCAACGCACTTGCGAGCCTTTTGGCCAATGACTGTCCATGGGCGGCGGTATCACTTAACATCAGGAGAGCCTCCTATTAATTAAGAAAATAACATCAATATCTGGAAGAATTAATACAGTGTATAAAAAGGGTGCGTGTACTTATGTACGCGCGTAAGAAGTTATACTTCTTTGGCATTATTAAAAATAGTGTTTGATTGCATGCAAATAATTAATTACAATTAAATAATCAAAGACTGGAAAAGGAGTCATTATAGTCAATAAAATTCAGTTTACATTTGAAAAATTAAATAAATAAATATACTTATTCTCTTACATTAAGTGTAACATAAATTCTATTATTATTCAAATGTTGTTTTTAAATTATGTCCAATGCCGTAGCATCTTCCGTGGGCAACTTCATTCTGTTAATTTTGTGTCACGGTGCGCGCGCATCGTAAAATTTCACTCTCATCAATTTTTCACTTAGTTCACATAATATTATGTTTATAAACTTCTGAAACGCTCAGCTTAGGTACTCTATAACACTGTCTGATTCCCTAAGATTATTAATACTGTCTAACAAAAAGCCAATTCCAACAATTTTATTTTACTTTTAAGCTAATATTATATATAATTCTTGTACAATCAGTCTAAATTAATCAATAAATTGAATAGAAGTTTCAATATTCGGAAATAATTTGAATTATCTGATATAAAAACTTGATATCGAAGTGGGAAAAACTGTGTAAGCCTGCTGAAACTACATTAGCGATCCCTATTTGCATATACGTATATTTATATTTTAAAGAAATTAAGTATCAATAGTTGAATCGACCTGACAGACCGACCGAATAGCGTTTAGTATAATAGATATACCTGTTTGAAAGGCTATAAATTCTTGGGGTTTTAATAAATTCCCGTCTTCATCCAAAAAGCGCGAAGGTTGAAATTTCTCTGGCTCTTCCCAAGACGAGGGGTCCATATGTACAGCCCATTGCAAGGGTACAACCATAGTACCTTTGGCTATTCTATAGTCACCTAAATATGTGTCCTAAAATATAGAATTACTATCAATACTACACTGGAACTTAGACAAAACTTAACTCAAGAGATAAGTTTCTCTATTTAAAACTTATAAGAAAATTAAATGAATAATGAACCAAGTATTGTCTTTTGAAGTGAAAACTTCTATAGCAGCGTTGTACACTTTTTTTGGAATGGGTAAAAAATGTTAAACTCGCGTCAGGACACGTGACCTGATCGAAAATTCGTAAGACGGATGAAGAGTAGACAGCTGGCGCGGCGTATTTAATGTAATATAAATTGTCATGTTTGTGTACGATAGCGCAATAAATAAATATTGTATTCTACAACATAAATGATAGTACTTTTATACTGATAATTAAAGAAATTCTTGCAAAATTAGCGTATAATTTTGCCATTCCAAAATATCAAAAATGCACAACGTTAATATTCAAGTTTTCACTTATGCCGGCACTCCCGGAGTGCAACGCGACGTTTTTTTTTTTACAAATGCATTAAGATATGAATCATTTTGGATGTCATATCTGTGAAATAAATACAGTAAAAATGGTAACCATAGAGAAAGCTTTAGTCCATATTTTATATTCTCCATACATTTTCTAATTTCTTTTTTACTCCTTTACTTAAGTGATACCTGTAGTTGAGAGCAGTGTTGGCCTAGCGGCTTCAGCGAACGACTCTCATCTCTGAGGTCATAGGTTCGAGCCCCGGCTGTGCACCAATAGACTTTCTTTCTATGTGCGAATTTAACATTCGCTCTAACGCTGAAGGAAAACCTCGTGAGGAAACCGGCTTTCCTTAGACCCAAAAAGATGATGGCATGTCTCAGGCACAGGAGGTTGATCACCTACTTGCCTATGATTAAACAGATTCAGAAATCTGAAGCCCAGACCTAAAAAGTTTGTAGCGCCACTGATTTATTTTTAATAGTTATCGCCGGACCCAGGTGGGAAGACGCCAAGCCCAAGGGAAACGGGAAATTTGACACTCCCCTGCTGCACTGCTTGCAACAGACCTGCTTGATCGCGTACCTGATATGCTATTAAGGGTCCTAAGTAAAAAATACCTGAACGCAACCATGGGGTATTCCTACGGGAACTATAGAGCGCACTCGTTGTGTTTCACATATCGTCGCCATCAAGTAAGGAAGTTTTGTATGGTCTATTTCAGACTCGTCAGGGCATACAGTCATTATTTCCTTGCGAACATGTTCCTGAAAATCCGATAATTCAATCTGATGTAGCTTTATATAGAGGCCGCGGTTATCTTACGTGAAATCAAAATTGAATACCAGTGATAATTTAAATAAATACAATATATATATTACAGATCCTACGACTGTGTATGTTAGGGCTTAGTGTAATGGCTGTGTTCTGTTATAAATGAAATCGGAATTCAAATTGTAATTTTATGACGTGCAATACAAAACATTGTGAAAGAAATAAGAAGATATGGCAGGAAAGTTTTTTGATTCTGAAAGTATTCCCTATTCAAATATCCAGAAGAAGCCCCTAAAAATCCTATTGAACCTATAACTCACATTACATACATTCACTAAAAATCTCGAACAACATCTTGTCAACCTGTCCTATACAGAAAATATTCTTATTGTGCAAAAAAAAGTTATATTTAAAAATTATAAATTTGTGTTATGTACAAATCACAAATTAAAGTACGGTTAACATGTCAAAAGGAAGAGACTGGCTGCCCCCAACACAGGGAATGCACTTTATTTTACCTATATATCCAGTTATTGTGTATAATAAAGTATTTTCTTTCTTTCTAACTAAATAATGACAACATGACGGGCAATACGCTCTCTACTGTACGTGTATTGCAATAACATTTATCTACATACTTTAATAATAAAGTTCAAAGCAAACTCAGTAAAATACTATAATATCTAGGCTACTAAAATTACCTTAATCTTAACGTACCTGTACTTCGGGATATAACGCCATAAACAAAAAGTACCAAGCAATCGTAACTGACGTAGTATCGAGCCCGGCCCCAAACATATCCGCTAAAAGATACACCAATTGTTCATCGGTCATATATTTTGCAGACTCTTCGTTTGCGTCATACCTCCTTTTTTGCTCTTTCAGAAAATTGTCAAGAATGCATTCGTCTTTGGAAGCGTGAAGAACGTCTGGGTCGAAATAATGCTCTGAGTTAGATGAATGTCTACTGTAGGTTATGCATTTGATGTGGCCTTGTGGGTGTTCATTGAACATGTTATCGTGCGCTGCATAGAACGCCTTTTCCGGTTGCGGGATCCCGATTAGCTTACGACGCTTTTCTATGATGCTGGCGTACAGTCTGTGGGTCTGTGCTTGCCCACGTGTTAGTACCTCCATTGTCACTTTTATTGATGGCATGAAAAACCTATGTTAAAAATCTATATTAATTTCGCATACAATGTAAGCGCAATTTAAACGCATACAAATTAAATCTCAAGGATAGGAAAAAATGCATTAAGATATAAACAGGTTTCATACGAGACTTCTGTTAATAGTTAGTGTATAATTAATTCAATTAAACAAAATTAAGCTTATTGGCTACGTATTTGTCTTTAGCTGTTATTAACACCTACCGTAGAAATGGTAGAAAGTTCACAACACCAGCCACACCCATTTCGTGGCAGCCTTCCTCTTGTATTTGTCTAAACCAGATCCATGTTTTATCATTATGTGGATATTTGTACCCAAATATAATATCGTTTATAACATTCCCAAGAGAATTTGTTACCATTTCAGTCAAACCTATTGGCTTTCCAGTAGTTTCTTTAACATTCTAAAAACATATTCACATATTCAAGATTTTTTTCAATATTGGCAATAAACATTTATAATTAAATAGGATTACTATACAACTCAAAATAAATTGCATCTGACGAAAATTTTACTAAAAATTAATATCATACAATTTTAGTGACCAACTTTTGGGGTATCATCTGAATAATTACATCCGTTTTTGCGAGTATTCATTGGGTTTTTGTCATCACGCAGAGGTCGTTCGGGTAATAAAGTACGTTTTTTGTGACCAAAAATTTGTTTGAAAAGTACATATTATATTTTTTGCTATCGTAAAATATTGCATCGTATTATGTTACCCAATTGTAGCAAGAGCGTGACCAAACAAATCTTGACAAGTATTTTGTATTGTCATTATATAAAAAATATTCAGTGTAATTAAATAAATTTATACATAATGACTTATTTCCAAGTTTACAAGAACTACAAAATCTTTAAACTCTGGTGCAGTATCGTAAACTATTTTTCAGTAGTAAGTTACAATCTAGCCTAGATTGTAGGTTACCACAATCAGTACGATGACGTCATACCGCGATAACAACGTTATTCCAATCGCTAAGGATATAAACAACTGCCGGCCTTAGCCACTGGGACCTTCAGGCCGGCCAGTGAGTGGTATCTATAATAAGTCTAGGATCCCTTTAGTTCGAGGAAACGCACAACATCCTTCCTCCACAGTGAAAACATTCCGCTATCGAGCGATACAGAACAGACGCATTTTGCGAAAGGGTTATTTTTAAAATACTAACTAGTGGCTTCAGTGTTCGACTCTCATCCCTGAGGTCGTAGGTTGAAACCCCGGCTGTGCACCAATGGACTTATCGTATACGTTTAACATGCGCTCGAACGGTGAAGGAAAACATCGTGAGGAAACCGGCATGCCTTAGACCCATAAAAGTGGTCGGCGTGTGTCAGGCACAGGAGGCTGATCACCTATTTGCCTATTAGATTGACAAATGGTCATGAAACAGATACAAAATCAGACGGACCTAAAAGGTTGTAGCGCCACTGATTGATTTTATTTTTTAAATAGTATATTAACTATACAAGTATTAGAACGTGTGCGTAATTCGGGATCCCGTTTGATAAGGTAGATTTTGTATCTACTTTGTAGTCACAAGACACAATCTAATCTTGTCGTTTCTTTTTTGTCTTTCTCATTAACAGCTCAAATTATTTTTCTCTTTTTTTTAATATATTACCCAATACCCCGCTGTCAGTTTTTCGCTGACAAAACGTTAAAAACGTAAATTAATTTAATTAATTTAACACTACTCTAAGAAAAAACAGTACAAATTATATTAGTTAAATAATATGAAGGACGCCGTTTCTCTTTCGAGTGATCTCATCCAGGCAACTTCTTAAGGAAAAATAGTTGTATCGAATATTATTAGACACGAGAAAAGACGGGTGTAATAGAAATATTTACTAAGATTGACACTTTAAAATGGAGGTGGGCGGATCATAGCGCGCATGGACTAAGACTTAAAAGAACATTAATTAATAAAGCTTTTTATAAATTTGACGAATACTTAAATGATCCTAATCCTTGGGATTGATTTGCTCCAGTTCAAACAATTTATATGACAATACTTGGCGATTAATAAGAGTGGCGGAAAGTTTCTTGCCAGTTCTTCTTACCCGCTCTACGCCCTTGACTTGCGAACTGGTAGTAAATGTAAATTTACAATTAGTTTAACTTCTTTCTGATAATTCATAAGTCTACTTCTTTACCTACATGAATAAAAATATTTTGAGTTTGAGTTTGACCTTATGGACCTGAAGATACTTGAATGGAGACATGGGCAGAACAAGACAAGCAAGGCTGCAAATGAATGCAGTATGTCGCGTAGGAGAAAAATGAAGTAAGCCTACTTAGAATGGCTAATGATAATGATAATGATATTTTTGAATTTATACATCCCTTGGCGCGTTAGGGAAAAATGACGAGAGCAAATTTTTTCTCGAAAGGCGAAAGGTAAATTTTTTTAAAATATTTTTATCTTGTTACACCAAAGAAGTATAACTTCTCAAAGCGTGTACATAAGTACACACACGTTTTTTTTGTTATTTATATATTTTACAGATATATCAATAAATTCAAAGCCCTCGTTAAACGAAAATTAATCAATAATTATAAATTATAATTTATAAATTTGGCGATTAATTAAATGATCGTAATCCTTGGGATTGATTTGCTCCGGTTCAAACAATTTGTAACACAAAACTTAGCGATTAAAAAGAGTGACGGAAAATTTCTTGTTAGTTCTTCTTGCCCGCTGTACGCCCTTGACTTGCGAACTGGTAGTAAATGTAAATTTACAATTAGTTTAACTTCTTTTTTGACGTTCATAAGTGTACTTGTTTTATTATATAAATAAAAATATTTTGAGTTGATAGTTTGAGTAATAGCAGTCTTGTTTAGGAGCGCGACAAATGCATATAAAAATATTCTATTCTATTAATTACAGAGTACAGAGCCGATCGTTGCAGCTCGGGTCCGTACGTCATACTCAACTCGATTCATACATCGTTATTACACAATTGTTTGGAAAATGCTCAATTACCGAGACTTACTTGTATCAACTCGTTAACGCCAGAAGCGATTCTGGACTCCAATCTATCGCGTGCAAGGCTGTGCTTGCTCATACCAAAACTTTTTAACCATGTTGTTATCAGCTTGCGTTGATCTTTCCACAGAGCACCCTCAGCGCAAATGATACCTTAAGCAAATAATATCATTAGTCATCGACAGAACCGATTTTATTCATCTGATCTACTATAAACAGCATACGTCATATTCATAATATACCGCGCACTTGTTAATGTGGTTTTATTAAACACGTTTGTCTCATTAAAGGGGTGACAATCCTTCTAAAAAAATAAAAAGCCGGGCATCTACTACGCACTAAGTACTTAATGTATTTTTATTTTATGTTAGTTCTGCTCTCAAACTTCACACATGTATTTTATTTCTTCGACATTATCGTATTGGCTTAGTAAGAATAATGGATGTTTTTGTAAATAAATAAAAACGTTCAAGTGAGGTCAATCGGATAGTTATGAATATGTTTTAGAAAATGGATATACGTGTGTGAAAATGACATGAGAATTTAAAGCCCTATCCCAGCACGAATTGCTGTGTCAGTGTCTCGGGGTGGACTGCGGTGCGCAGTGGAGCGCTGGAGCACTGAGGCTGGCCGGCCCGTAATCACAATTAGTTATGTAAAACATTAAATTACTTAATGTAATTTTATTTAAAAAAAATCTGAAATGGGTTACTTGGCTTGCGACATTATATATCGTGTAAATTTCAAAATCATGTTCTATATACATTTTAGTCATAAACTGAATTCAAAATGACAAAAATTGACTATGTTTGGATTTTTTTTTCTATCGAGCGAAGTTATTTAAATTGTGTATCGATCTTAAGAATGGATACATAAACTACCTACCTCCACCATATATTTTTCTATTCGCCCTACTTCAAGAAACGATGACGAAAATGGAAAGAAACAATGTACTTTTTTGGAGATTGGCGACCAGATAGGTCCTTAAGAAAGCGTCAGACCAGATCCATGCAACTTCCTCACAATCGAGTAGCCCGCAATATCGCAGCACACCTCACAAGGGGTCTCATGTATTGGAGAAGTCGCAATTATTTAAACTTAGCTAAGATTTTACATCATATCTTGATGATCAATTATCTTGATGGTAAATTAGAAAACAAAATCATGTTTCTCTCGAGGTTTTCATTCATGTTTTCGTATTTCTTTCCACAAATTGTACGTCATAAGTAACAAATTGACGTCATAAGTATAGCAAGTGTGTAACTTGTTTACTCTAAAGTGTAATGGAATATAAAACGACAGGCGGAGAAAGGTACCGGCGTTTATTTATGAAGTTCACCACATCATACATAATGCATTTCCTACAGAATATATCTTACATCTCTTATGGTATGGCGGATAAGGTACCAGATAGGTACTTAAAAATGCTTTATTTTAAATTAATAAGACCAGAACCGAATATATCAAGCTAGGATAAGTAGAGTTTATTCTGTGATATTCGCGAATAATTCGAATGTGAAATCCCAGAGGTTGATTTTTGCTGACGGTATTTGAAAAATTCTGCTGATTTTGCGTTTGATTATTAGTCGACATACGAACGTAATATCATGACGCAACATGACGTATCATGTCGCATATCAAAGCGTGTTAGTCTAGAGACGCTATTGAGGAATCATATGTTAACGGAACGCGGCGTCAACTCGTCTCTCGACTTAAATCCACTCTGGCATTTTCTATTTATACATTTAATTTTGTCAACTGACAGAAAACAATCCAATTGTAATTAAGTAACCGTTCTTACCATTGCCTTTCATGATGCCGTGAGTCAGGTACAAAGGCGCACGACCAGAAAACTCCTCTTTAGCGAAGGCCTCCCTAATTAGTTTGTGGTCCGAAAGAACCACAGCAGGAATACTTCCCATCTTGATTGAATAGATCGGACCGTATTCCCTAGCCAGCTTTGTTAGGGTTAGGTGAGGGCTGTTGCGGTCGAAGAACGGTAGGTAACCGACAACTGGGAAGCCCCAAGGCCCAGGCGGAAGAGTCTTCCATTGCCTAAGTTTTTTGTTTATCCAGAAACCTAGCACAAAAGTCACTAGCCAAAGAAAGATGAAATCCATTTCTGTAATTAATAATATCAATTATTTAATTAGATATATAGGTTTTCTCTTAATAGCTGAGATGTTTATATCCGCTATATTATACTAAGACGCTATTAACGCTAGTGCAGGCTATATAAAATAATATTCAAACTCAATTCGAAGTTCCTGAGATTATCGTGTTCAGACAAAGTATTCTGTTTTATAATTTTATAACAAAAAGTATATCTAATTAAAACAATAGTAATTTAAACAATAAAAAGATAATTTTAAAAACGATATGTCTTAAATCTTTTATACGATAAGGTTTGATTTACGTTACATTTGTTATGCGCGACCTTTATATTCCCACGACCAGTAGTGCCAATATTGAAAAAAACAGCGCGTGAGACGGATGACGCATTGTATCAAAATGGCTAGCCTGTTTATGGCTAGCGCCAGATAATTCTAGTGCTATCTACGATGTAATTACAGATTTACCTTGTTTGTTGGCTTTAGGTGATCTTGTTGATTATGATGTCACACTGGTGGAGTATTTTTACGGTTTGGTAAGGGCAAGATAATACGATTTTTTTTATCAGACCACTTATCACGTGGCCCGACGCTTGACGAGTGTCGAGTGTCGACTGACGCAGGACGCTATCTTCAACCTCTAAGCAATCTGTTTAATATTTTGAAAGTTAAATTCTGAATGTTCCAGGTAGACAAATCAAAATTTTAAATTTTACAAAGGTTTTTGGATGCGAACGCGATAACACGACACCCAATTGAAAGTGTTTACATTAGTATTAAAACTTTTGAAAAGATTTTATATTTATGTATATTTTTAGTTACACTTACATAACTACAGATATGCAATACATTATATAATAATGACATTGTTATGTCTCCTTGTCGTAATATTGACAGATTACCTAAAAGCTAGTTATGACAGTTTTCGTGTACATATTAGTATTATACACACCTTTTCAAAATTAAATTAAAGATCTTCGCGTCTCAAAATTCATACACGAAATGAGTTATGTTTGTATTTTAGAAATATCCTTATTCTTACAAAAAAAAACATAAATATTTTTAAGTCAACGGGAATAGACATCTGTTGAAGTAGACAAGAGAAATTGGCTGTGCGAAAACTTAATCTGGAATTGTATAGAAAAAACACCTTTTGTATGGCAATCAAGGTGTACAATAATTTACCAAAAACATTAAACGAGTTTTTAAAAATCGACATAATGTACAATTTTTGGAAAAAATTTAGTATTCCATTAATGCTTATTTGCGTGTAACATTATAATTAATATTAATTTGATAACGTAATAATATATTTTAATAATGAGATATTTTATCACTACAAATAATATAAGAATTGACTAAGTGATATGTCTCATAATGTATATATAGCTTCTATGTAAAATTCCTTTTAAAACAAATTTGTACGCCATGTGTGGCAGAATATGCGAACTTTTGATTGTACCACCATAACATTTTTGTACCATATTCTTGTAAATAAATTATATATAGTAAATTATTAGAAGCGTAAACAAAATGTAAACAATCATCGCACACTTGTAGCCAATATGAGCCCTTTAGTTTTTACCACAGTCATAAATTGTATTTTTACATTCTCGTTTCTGATAATGTCCAATAATGTCTCATTTAGATTTAAGAACCCTTTAATTAGTCAAGTGTTATTTGTTAATCCAGCATCGCAACCCCACTACCCCTAATGTTATCTTAGTTATAAGCTCATGTTTTAAACAATTAAAGCCAGTAGTTACCCAGCTTAAAACAAAGTGATTCATTTATCTAAAGTGTTTACGTATCTGAACATCCATACAAAAAACCGCCACTAAACTTAACTCAGGCTTTAACTTTTTGTTTGAAAATAGTCAACAAGTCTGCGCCAGGAATAACTCGTAAAAGAAAAATGTAGTCGAGTTATGCAGACATGTTCCATTCTTTTGTTATAGAAACAAAAACAATGACCCAAATAGTTTTCTTTGAATTATTTAGTGACTGCAATGGAGCCTCTTCGGGTGGACCTATATACTACAATATTCTAAGGTAACTTATGTATGTGTCGCGGTTTTCTAGTTCACTAAAAATGCAAACAAGAATGTTTTTTTATAGTCCTTTACAATATAAATATTATATCTACATTATAGAATAGATATCTTATACATCTTAGTAATTATAATTAGTTTGAAGCAATGATAACTTTTTTCACAAAAATTATAAAATTTTCCGGTTTGTTAAGTTTAAATTGAATTATGCAAATGTTATTTTTTAAGAAGTGGCGGATGATTCATATATTTATCAACTTTAGCACGAATAAACTGTAGTTTCGGCAAGTATATGTATATGTGAGCAATGTTGGCCTATAGGCTTCAGCGTGACTCTCATCCCTGAGATCGTAGGTTCGATCCTCGGCTGTGCACCAATGGACTTTCTTTCAATGGGCGCATTTGACAGCTTTCGCTCGAACGGTGAAGGAAAACATCGTGAGGAAACCGGCTTGCCTTAGACCCAACAAGTCGACTGCGTGTGTCAGGCACAGGAGGCTGATCACCTACTTGCCTATTAGATTAACAAATGATGATGAAACAGACACAGAAACCTGATGCACAGACCTAAAAAGGTTGTAGCGCCACTGTTTTATTTATTTTTTATATGTACGAGGGGCTGAGGTATGATCAATTTTTAAAAAAGCATTGTTAAGTCATCTGATATCTAATCCGCCATTATATACTTATTGTTAAGCATATAGCTAATAGTAAAATCTTAAATTGGAAGTGTAATATTTTTATTGTACTTTTATTATATTTACGTTTAATTTTTTTGTAACATTTATAATTGTCATGAATTGTAGAAAAGATAGCTTGTAACATATATGGTAGATTATATATGACGTGGTGAACTTTAATAAATAAATAAGTATAAGTCAATACGATAATTTCAATTGACAGCTGTCAATACGCGATACTCTGTAGCTCCAGAGTATTGACGTTTCATACAATTTATAGGGTATGTTCCGATATACACTGCGACCACTGTACAGAGTACCGTCAATTTAGTATACTGTGAAACCGTTTCTCTATAGCCAGCTATACTGGTTACAATTTAAAACGGAACGCAGTCCAGTATACTAGTCAGCTTCGTTTTTCGACACAGTTTTCAAATGAGTGCATCAAAGTTTTTCAATTCAACAAGAAAAACTATTATTGGAGTATTATCGCATTAAAAAAATCTATATTAATATTAACTGTCAATTGAATTAATACTACAAAGAAAGTAAGTATTTTTTAATTAGAATTTTAAATGTTTGTTATTAAACTGTAAGTTATATCAGCCGTTAGGCATTCAAGTGGTTTTGATTGATCACGTGATCAAAGCACTGCGAGTACCTTACCTCGAAAACGCCAGTGCTCGCAGTAGAAGTATAGCGGGGATTTGTGACGTCATATATTTCCCTAGGACGCTGCGGCTGTATACTGGCAGTCCATAGCGGAACGAATTTTTGAACAGTGGGAGCACTATACAGTACTCGCAGTGTATATCGGAACATACCCTAAGTTCATATTATTTTTAGATACACGTATTCTAATCTATGGTTATTCTTTCTTCCGTTGTTATTTAATTCCGTATACGCTTCTGAAGCACTTCATAAGTTTTCATACAAAATTATATCATTACTTTTCAAATACGATAGCTATTCAATATGCTATACTAGAAATCTTTAGGAAGGTTTTATATTTCACCTTTGAGTTTGTGACTTGACGTGAGAAATAAAACTACTTTAGGAGCAATAGAATGTTTATTATAAATATGTTACTTTAATAATATTAAATAATAATAATAATTTTAACCACCACTGTCACTGTTCCTTAACATAGACAGCATTTTCTGTGTTCGATTTCTAATAGTTGTTTTTGACTTCATGCATTTGGCAATTAAATAGATTACAAGTATATGGGGAACTTAAATCAGTGATTTGTATTTAAGTCGTGTATGAAGTCGTTTATAGTTGTGTTAGCTGGTCAGCTTGAGACGTACGAGGTCATGCAGTCGCAGGCGCAGGCAACGTGAAGTGTGAAGGTCGGTCAGCGTCCGAGCTGTTATCGAACCAATAATAACTTAAAATATTGCTCACAAAAACATTGAATTGAGCAAAAGTTGTCGATTTTTGGTACTTTCATTTGTAATAAACAAATCGTTTTACTTTGTGTATTGCGCGTAGGACTCAGGAGTCATTCCCATGCACAGATTATGTATACAAGTTAAAAAACATCACAGACAAAATTCTGTCTGTCTCTTTTTCACTATCTTGAATTAAAATTGAACTCCGTGTTTTAGTCACTTGTAATCTATTTACGATAACCAATAAGCCACGATACGGTTTAGTACTACAGTTAACACTTTAAAATTGTTATATTTTACAGTCAATATGTCATGTTTTATTATTGATTTCAAATAAAAAGTATTATTAATCGTAAACAAAGAAATTTGAAGTAATACTATTTGGAGCAAGTTTTTCAACTCCAAAGTTTCTTCGCAAAGATCGTGCCTTTTAAGGTACGGTTTAATTTACCAAAACACGATGCTTATAAGCCCATCCACGTGCTATTGCCGTCAATAATCATTATTTACGACACAAATGTCAGCGCACACCGTGGCTAATCTGTGGACCTAACCATGTCATAGACTTTGACCATAAACTTAGAGTTAATATAAACTCTATAATTTGTTTAAAACTCTATAATTTCCCGCGATTTCATCCCTGTTAAATGAGTCATATTCGAACTAGTTTCCTGAGATCATGTACACACATACATATAGCGACTTCTCGATACAAAAAGTCCCCTCGGTAGTTTTGTGCTGCGATATTGCGAGCTACTCGATTGTGAGGAAGTTGCATGGATCTGGTTAGCTCTGCGCCCTCTTAAGTTCTCATGTAATTTTTACACGTGTAAATCCTTTTTTATTACATGTTCATAAGTGTTTGATTGTTCTGATTTTAACAT